TGTTTGTCCCGTCCTGAAGATCAGGCTGCCAGACAACTCTCCTGTCATCCTGGAGAGTCAACTGCATGTTGAACAAGGTGAGACCATCAAAGGAGGTAGCACACCAGAGTGCCACAGGGGAAAAGAAGACCTAATCCTGCCCTTATGAAACTACAGTCAACTTCAGGGTCAAAAGCAGTCAAAGAAAGCAAAAGAAAATAATTAAACATTACTTTCAAGAAAGGTTTCATAAAGTGATGGAAGAGGGGACGGGCTATGAATGCAGGAGTAGAACAGCAAAAAGTAAGAAAACATGAATATTTGGGGCTGAATGAAAAGGACACACAGCACAGACAGACGCTGAGTGGGAAATGAGCCCAGATGGTAAAGAGAATTTTGAGTCCATCTAAGATTGAGGTAGAAGCCCAGGAAGAGAAAGGAATAGATCTGCAATGGTGGGCCAGAGAAACTATGGCAGATCTTGAAGGATTGCCATTGGTGTTTGTGGCAGGCAGGAGGCAGCATTGCTGGTCTAGTCAATAGATATTTACTGAGCACCCAGTATGTGTCAGGCACCAGGGACACACACGTGAATGAAACAAAGCCTCTACACCCAAGGAATACTAGCGAAGACAATATAAACAGGTGGTAAGAATGGCAAAGAAAGTGTAAGGCACAGTGATCACTAACCTGGACCAGGAGGTGGCAGTCGGAAAAGAGTTCCCAGAAGAAGACCCACCTTGCATTACAAAAACATTTGGCAGAAAAGGGGAGAAGGGAGTTCTGGGAGGAGGTACTGCAGGTACAAAGGTATAGTCACACTTGAGCAATGATCAAGTCATTCATTGGGCATGATGGGAAAAGTAGAGAGAAATGAAGCTGGGATTTGTGTGTTAGGGACTGTGGATTTCCTTCAGAAGCCAAAAACACCCGGCACTATTTTAAGCAAGGGAACAAAATAACCAGTTCTGCATTTTAGAAGAACCCCTTGGGTAGGGCTGAGGAGGTGGGTTAAGGGGAAGAGCCACATGGGCTCTTTATCACACCTGCCTCCCATCCCACAGCAGAGTCCATCACAGAGCCCACAGTCCCCATGTAGGTAGCCTGCTGTCCAGTGAACCCATTAATTGAGATAGGTTTGTGGAGAGGGTGATAAAGTGGAGTGTGGAGATGCCTGTGGACAGAGAGATGGAACTTGAGCACGAGGTAGGGAGGAAGGCCGAAATTACAGACTTGGAGAACATCAGTCTAGAGGTGGGAACAGAGGAGCCTTGAGAGGAGTTGAAATTCCCTGGGGGAAAATGTGAAGGAGTCTGTAAAAAGAAACCCTGGGGCCCCAACACTGAAGGGATGGCAAGAAGAGAAGCCATGGAGGGAGACAGACAAAGGGGCTGGAGAAGAGGAATTTGGGAACAGAAAGAAGCTTCTAAGACATTCACAAGGTGGAAGTCATTGCCAACCACATTATTTTTCGTGCTTGGTGCCTCTAAATCTGTATCCATTCTTATGACTCTCAATCTCCATGGGTAAGTCTATAGAGTCAGAATGGAGGGTCCTCTCTCACCTGTTCTTTCCCCACAGACCGACTCACATCTCAGCATGTGATGAGGGCAGTGACAGACACAGTGGAGGGGGTGACTTACCATCTCTGCTGGTGGCTAAACATGGTCTATTACATTTCTAGATCACCACTAATAAGACTGAACATCTTCCTAATATTCTCAGCCATGCGGTTGAGTTCAGAATGCTAAGCCATTCTTAGCAATGGCCCACACTCTATCATAACTCTACTTAAAAACCATCTTTCTCTGACAAAATGAAATGACCACCAGAACACTAAGAAACTGTGTTCTAGTTCTAGTCTACTCGTTCACTAGTTATGTAAATGTGAGCAAGCCGCGTAGCCTCTCTGGACTCCACTTTCATTTCTGAGTAAAAATGTTGAATAAGATGATGGCTAAAGTCTCTCTGCACAACACGGTTTATCTGGCCGTTCTCTATGGGAGCTTTAAGGCTTCTGGGGGTAAGGAACACTCCTACAAATCGTGTGATTTGAGCCGATGCCCTATGGGGGATGGGACAACTTTTTATCTCCATCTTACCTGTCACCGTTCCTATTTTTTCACATCACAAGAGCCAGAACATGTTGCGTGTGGAGTTTACTTAACTGTACCCAAGAGAATTTGCTTTACTTTGTGCCAATCCATGATGTTTCCCAACAAAAACATCAGTACCAGGTGCTGTAAGCCACCACCAACAGTAATGCATTCTACTTCTGAATTTCCGCTGGAGTCCTTCAACAAAGGCAAGTCCTGTGATCTCAGACACCACCGCAGAGCAACGGATTCTTAATGTAGATACAATCCCTGGTGCCTTTTTGAAAGACGCTTGTTGTCTCACACTGACCATGAGACAAGATGAGAAATGAACACGGCACAGAGGACTGCTAGGAGGTCTGTATAATCAGAGGACAACCAGGGATGCAGACACATTAAAAGAAAAAAAAAAATCAACAACGAGCCAAAAGAGACTCAAAGCATCCTGATGTTGCCACTAATATCCAGGGGATATATTCTTCACTAGAGAAACCATTTAATGGGAAAGAAGTGACACCTTTAGATGTAAAAATAACCTAAAAGCTTACAGTCTACCTTACATACATTGACAGCTGTGATGATGTTGATTAAAAGCAAACTCAGCTCCTTCCCCCATTCCTTCCGTGGCCTACGATGCATTAAACAGAGGGGATGCCTAACAAATGGTATTTGAAGGAATTACCAAGTAAAACCTAGGCAGAAAGAAAACGTGGCTTGGGAAGGGCAGGGCTTTGCCCTAGAGTCAGGGAATAACAAATATCTGGAAGTATCATAATGATAAAAGCAAATTTTTATGGATAACAGCCAACATTTCTATGCTATTATCCTAAGTGCACATTTAAATCTTATACCACGATAGGAGGTGGGTCCTAGTATTTTCCTTGTTTAAAAGAGGAGACACTAAGGCACAAGGGATTAATACTTTGCCCAAGACCTCAACACATTCAATAGAAGCCTGACTTCTAACTGAGGCTGTCTGGCCTTTGACTATTAGAAAAGAAAAAAAGGGGGCACCTGCATGGCTTAGTTGGTTAAAAGCATCGGCCTTCAGCTCAGGTCACGATCTCACAGTCTGTGAGTTCGAGCTCCCATGTCGAGCTCTGTGCTGAGAGCTCAGAGCCTGGAGACTGCTTCGGATTGTGTGTCTCTCCCTCTCTCTGCCCCTCCCCCCACTCGCACTCTCTGTCTCTCTCTCAAAATAAAATAAAGACATAAAAAAAGTTAAAAAAAAAAAGAAAGAAAGAAAAGAAAAGAAAAGAAAAGAAAAGAAAGGAAAATAGGTAAAGAATATGAGCATGCAAGTCAGAGAGGAAGAAACCCAAATATATGATAGTAGGAAAATCTCACCACTAAGCAGCAAAACACAAATTAAAGCAGGGAAATACCATTTTCACTCCTCTGGTGAGGACACAGAGAAATGAAAATGTCAGTTGTTCCAACTTTTTGGGGAAGCAACCTGGCAATATTTAAAGCATTAAAAACACAATAACCTCTGACCCAGAGGTCCCACTTTGGGGAACATCCCTAGAACACAAGTATTTTGTAAAGAGGTCACGTTGTTTACTGTGCACAGATTGTAGAGACTAAAAAAAGGAAAATAACCCAAAATGTTCATGAATATGGAGATGTTAAATAAAGTGCATAATACCCATATCTGTAATACCACACAGCTATGAAAAATGAGTAAACTAGACCCTCTACAGCCCCAGAGGGACATCTACAAGATACTTTTAAGTGATGGAACAAGTTTCAGAGTCATGTATATATATCACGAACATATTTTTTAAAAAACTGCAAACGCTATATATGTGTGTATGTTTCCACGAGCAATCGGTTTGACACCAAGGGAATTACAACAGGTTAGTAACACTAGTGCTCTCTGGGTGTCGGGGTGGAGGATGAAGGGGAAAGATTAACTCTATATAACTTTGGATATTTTCACTTATAGCAAACACACTTATTTTTACTTAAGTTTCAGTAAAGACGATAAAATAAATTCCTGTAATGAATACTTTCACAGTCTAAGGACCCACAAAACATAGCTATAAAAAAAACATTATCCCACAGCCTATGCCACCCAGCACTTCTCAAAGTGACAGAAACCAGCCCTCCTCTTAAAATAACCTGTGGTTGGTCCATACCGTGGAGATAGGAAGAACTGGACTGGCTTTTCCCCGGACCCTGCTGCTGCTGTCCTGCTCACAACCCGTCTAATACTTTGGGTTCAGCAGAAAGGAAAACATGAAGAAAAAGGACAATGACAGAGCCGTCATCTGTAAAAACTGTACTTGCTTAGAAGTCAAGAGAATGATTCGTCTAAAACAAAGGCTGTTCCCCTCACTCCTGTGAGCCCTACCTTTAACCACTAAAGACACACTCTGACAATGCTTTCTTCCTCACCTAAGATGCAATTATGGACCAAACATTCAAAGGGTTTCCAGAAGGACTGCCACAGGTTTCGAGCATACTCTGTGTCTTAAGTTCATCTCTGAGCAAGCAAAACAATTAAATGCCAGAGACCGTGGCCAACAGCATCTTATTTTAAGGATGAGTTATCAGAAAAACATTGTGCTGGCTGTTGGCTTAAACAGAATAGGTTGGAACAAGAAGACTTAGCAAATTCCTTTGAGGCCAGAACGTATATTTCTTAATTTAAAGAGCTGTCATGATTTGTTTCCACTACTTGCAAGGTATCTAATGCCCCGGGACCACTATCTCATCCTCTGTGTCACAAACCAATAATAAAGCACAGAGAATAAGGAGACCCAAGAGATGGAATGCTGGAATGCCTGCTGACCTCATAAACAAAACCCCAGCCACCTCCGTTGTATCATAACACAATGACATAGTTCTCTGGATTAGGATACAGGGAAGGAAGCCTCTATTACAGACTTGGTTTAAAAAAGTCAGAAAAGGTATCTGTGAAACTGTTTGGGTTCCAACAAATACTGCTAAGCCTGGCCGACTGACCCTTACTCAACCTCAGTGAGACTATAAAGTTTGAGACACAGTAATTCATCTTGAGTTCAACACAAGGTTTACCTAGAAAGATTAAGTTCACTTGCTAAAAAGTTATAAAGTAACTGAATGTGAGCAATTTTGGATTAACATGAAACAATGCTTTTCTTTCAGAACCACTTGGGGAGACAAAATTAAGGTGAGTTGCTGTTCTCTGAGTACCAAAGAAACTTACAAAAATAGAAAAGCTGTGAAGGAAAATATAGGGTGGGAGCATGAGGGTTTTCTCCATACTGTCTTTACGCAAGGAGGTGACATATATGTACCAATGACACCTAGGATAAACATAACCAGTGAAAAACATTATTAAATGAATCATACTCGGGTTTACAACCTGATTGCCTTACCCCTTGACTTTGTAGAAAAGAAACAAATTGACTAACTTTAACTACAGTTTATGTAGTTAATAAAAATGTTTATAAGACCATGTGCTCCAATACTGTAAGTGCTGTTACATTTACAACAAACATGTATTTGGTTCCATATTAGACAACAGGAGGAAAAGAAGAGATTTTAGGGTAGGTACAGTGTGTCTTCAATAAGAAAACAACAAAGACGTTCAGTACTAAATGTACAAGCAATCTAAGGGCCGAGAACGTACAACATATTCTGAAAACCTAGGCCCATACCACCCTTGTCATATGTCAAGGGCCCCCCTCCATTATATTCCAAAATGAGACATCAGTTATTTTTGTACCGAAACAACTTCCTGTCACTCATATCCTGTTTGTTATGTCTCAGTCACAGTGGAAGACAAAAGCCGGGGCAACAGGATGAATGCAGCAGAAAGAGGAGCTGACCAGAGAGGAGCCTGCCATTAAATCACACAGTCAGTACCTCCTGCTTGACTCCACCGCTTGTCTTTTCTCTGCAACTTATTTACCCGTGGCCTGACCTCCCGCTGGACCCTCCCTTACACCTCCATCCCTGGTATTGACTTCTTGGCCTCTTCATCCCTGATTAAACTCCCCTCTCCCAAGTGGCTATGCACACAGTCTCTTTCTCCTTCACCCCGACCCCCCCCCCCACCTCTACTTCAACTGCAGATTACACAACTATGGAATCCATTCCTCTCAAGATCAAGAGGACCAGCAGTCAGTCAACTCCCTGCTTCCTTAACAGGTACAAATGGTCCCCACCCGGACACAGTGGAGGTTATAAACTAAGCTAAGACCACATTGGTGCTTGGAGCCCTGGACTGTGAAGGGCTGAGAGTCCCGCACAGTCAGGCCTGGGCTCACCCACCCCGCAACACCACACAAGCATCACAAGTGTGCCAGCAGCACGCTGACTGCATGGCAATACATCTTCATTCTTCTTTTTTTTCCCTTTGAAAAATTACTTGCTGCCCTTTTTCTATCTTCTGAAATAAAAATATTTTTAAAACACTTAAGAGCTGGGGTCGGGGGCAGAAATAACAACAGCGAAGCCCCTTATAATGCTTTCTTTTTCAGGCTTTGACCATGACCACAGTAAGAAATACGTTTATATCACAACCCAATACATATACACATACTACATTGGGCTGCCTGGGTGGCTCAACTGGTAGAGCATGAGACTCAGGGTAGTGAGTTCGAGCCACATGTTGGACACAGAGATTACTTAATAAAAAAGTTTTTAAATAATATCTGTCATTATGAAGGGTAGTGTATTTAATATTCTCTATCCAGTTCTATTCCATTTATATTTTTAAAATGTCTGGGTCATATAATGTTAAGTTAAAGAAGCCTCACGTAAAAAGTGCATACTGTATGATTCCACTGATAAGAAGGTCTGGAACAGCACAACTAATCTACAGTGACAGACATAAAAACAGCAGGCATATCAGCTGGGAGGGGAGAACAGGATAGCCTGCTGGAGTGCTAGAAGCGTTCTATGCATTGATCTGCGTGGTGGTTATACAGGTGCCCAAATGTGAAATCCACTGAGCTATTCAATTAGTGTTCCATGTAAGTTCTACTTCAATTTAATTAATTAATTAATTAATTAAGCAAAGCAAAATAAAAAGAAATGGGGGGTTTAAACTAATTAATCTGATTTAACCAACCAAAACTGCTTCAACTAACCTGTTAGACACAGTTTGAAAATAGCTCTAAATATCTTTGTGTGTGTGTGCGTTAACTCTCTTATATATGTTATCTCATATAACTAAACTAAGGAAAGTTTAAAAACTTTCCTAGGGAGCGCCTGGGTAGCTCAGTCAGCTGGGAATCCAGCTCCTGACTTCGGCTCAGGTCATGATCTCATGGTTCATGAGTTCGAGACCCACGCTAGGCTCCACACTGACAGTGCAGAGGCTGCTTGGAATTCATTCTCTCTCTCCCTCTCTCTCTCTCTCTCTCTCCCTCTCCCTCTCCCTCTCCTTCTCCCTCTCCCTCTTTGCTCTTCCCCTGCTTGTGAGCTCTTTCTCTCAAAATAAATAAACCTAAAAAAATAAAGTAAATAAAAGTTTTCCTAGGTCTTAGGATTGAGAAATATTGAATTATTATGCTGGCCAGCTACAGGTAGTCAGTGAGAGAAGAAAGGAAGGCACAACTCCTGAATGTCTTCACAGGAAGGAAAAAAATACAGATTTCTAATTAATCAACATTAGGCTCAAACAATATGAGTCTTCTCCTAGGTGTCCACGGTGTTCACCCAGTAAGTGTAGAAAGTTACTTTCCAAGTTCTGGATTGCATTGCATATATTATCTGGTTCAATAAATAAAATGGGTTTAAACATTCTGCTTTGAGAAATTACGAGCCCCCCAAATATCCAGAAACAAAAAAAGTGAATCTCAATGCAAAATACGATGCATAGAAGTTCATAGCACAAAAACACATACACACAAGCCAAAAGCCGTCCCAGCTTAGTAGGCGGTTACAATGGTGACACTAAAATTAGCTTTAATAGGCAGGTGCTAAAAAGATACTGTGGTAACAGTCAAGTCTTGAAGAAAAACAATACTCTCAAGTCCTAGCCAGGGAGGGAGATTTTATATTTTAGAACAGCCATGTTGTCTTAAAGTAAAGGTCAATGCTGAATGCCAGTCTATTTATAATCGTATATGGATAAACCATGTTTTCTATTACAGTGTTTAAGATGTGGGTGTGTAGGGTCTCTATTACACTGTATTCGCAGAGAAGAAGAAAAAGGCAGTAACAGAGCAAGAATGGAAATGGCTGGAGAAGACAAAGATATTTCTCTCATTTAAAAGAGAATCATTCATAGATGCACACAAGGAGACAAGTACAAGGATATTCATTGTAGCATTGTTTGTAATGGAAAAAAAAATTGGAAATAACAGAACAGCTAAAATAAAATGCTTACACGGTGCAATCAAAGGGATGAACTAGATCTATATACCAGCTTGGACAGATCTCAAAATCAAAGTTGAATTAAGAAAGAAAAGTACAGAATAATATGTTAGCATTTATATAACATTAAAAAAAATTTTTTTTAATGTTTCTTTAATTTCATTTTTGAGTAAGAGACAGAGCACGAGCAGGGGAGGGGCAGAAAGAGAGGGAGACACAGAATCTGAAGCAGGCTCCAGGCTCTGAGCTGTGAGCACAGCGCCTGATGCGGGGCTCGAACTCACAGACCGCGAGATCGTGATCTGAGCCGAAGTCGGGCGCTTAACCGACTGAGCCACCCAGGCGCCCCACATTTTTAAACATATGAAAGGAACACAACCATGTAGATCATTATGATAGATACACTGGGAAAGATACAGAGATAAAATGGAAGTAATCCCAGGAAACTCATAACAGTGTCTGTCACCGCTTGAGGCTGTGGAGGAGGAAGGGAATGGAGTAAGGATGGTGTTTAAAAAGAACTTTAACTATAGTTGATTTTTATTTCTTTAAAAAATATGGAAGCTAAAAGGACCACAGAGTAACAGGGTTGAATCTGGGTCATGGGAATAAGGTCGGCTGTTTTGATCTTTGTGATTTTCAGTAACTTTAAGGTTTCTCAAAATTATTAAAGACAAGTGTAACTTTTTTTTTTTTTTCATTCAGAGTGACCCAGAGGCAATTTACAAAACTCAGGCAACCCCTGTTTGGTTTAGCAGTAGAACTGTCACAGACCACCCTCTTTGGAAGTGTGTCTATTAACGTGAATAGGGAGAGCGTATGTGTGAACATAGTAGGTACCATGTTAACGTGGGAAACTTTACCTGTGCATTTTAGTTATTTCTTCAATACTCGTCATCTGGTAGTAAACATTATGGAAGGGCAGGGACACAGAATAATAAAAAGAATAATCTGTATGGCGCTTTCCAGAAAACAAGACTAAAATCTGACTCAGGTGAGTATTTTACCTCCCCTCACATTTAGGACAGAAAATAGAGAGCAGTAACCACAATGTCTTTTTTAACGATTTACTACAATGTAATTGTTAATCATTTCAATAGATTCCATCCTGGACAAGCTAGGAAATGAGAAATATTTCAGTATCATTCTTTGAAGGGCAGAAGACTGAAGATGATTATTACCTTGGCAAGTTCAGGCAGGTAGCTATCTAAACCGGAACCAGAACCTTCCAATTTGCTTTGTTCATCATCTAAAATGGCAAAACAGATGACCTGAGTTACTTGTAATTGAATGTATTTTATTTAAAGCAGGAGGTCAAAGGCCTCTTATATTCACCCTTGAATGCAGTGGTTTCTAACTCTAAATGCCCATTAAAAACACCTCAGAGCTTTTAAAAAAAAATACTTACACCCAGGGTTGAGAACCAAATATTTAATAATTGATACAGCATGGACACTGTCTAAAAAGAACTGATATTAGTTATGAACACCAGTCTGCATGGCCACATCCATCAGACCCACTAAAATGCCTGCCTGGGTCCCACCCCAGGCCAACCAAATAAGAAAGAGAATTTTTTAAAAAGTTTCACAGAATTTCTAAGGTACAGCCAGGGTTGAGATTCACCGGGCTAAGGGCTTGAAACAAAACATGAATTGTCAAGAACATAGCCAGATTCTTCCCACCAATGAGGCTTCTGCCCACCTTAACTTTGTCTTAAAAAATCTAAAGGATGGGATTAATGACAGTAATAACCACAGTATTTTAAGTGCTGATTTTGTGCCAGGTATTCGAGACACATAATCTTATTTAATCTTCCCATCGACCAGCAAGTTCTGTTTTATTCTTACTTCACAGATGGGAATACCGAGGCTCAGAATATGTAAGTAGCTTGCCCAAGGCCTCACAGCTGAAAAATGATATTGCGGAGACTTGAACTCAGTCTTCTTTTCTGCCCCGAAGCTGTGGCTCTTCCCATTTAAGGTTTCCTGATAAAAATGTTGTCAGGGTAGTAAATTCTAATGTGACGAAATCTTTGCTCACAAACTCTCTGTGAAGAGCTCACATCTGACCCATTGCTCACGTAGCTGGCGATACATAGGCTCCCTATGCCCTCTGACAAAGTTAAAGACATCAGTGAAGTATGCATGTCCCTGGAGAAAGCGAGGTCTGCTTACCCTCATGAGAGTCTCCGTTTCGCTTTTCTTGCATTGCAGCCTCAAAGTTGAGCTGGAGAATCTTGTTGAGAGTTGTGATCCATTCTTCCATTTCGACTTCGCTGTCTGCAGCCAAAAGGTAGCTACTTTTGTCCTGCATCTTGAGCTCAAAAGCAAAACGTCTAACTTTGTTGTTCTGAAATGGAAAAGGAGTACAGAGACACATTTTAAGAGAACTGGAATGGCCTTAAAATTTTTCCTCTTTATTATTTTCTGACTGATGCTATCTCATTGGCGTTTGGGGCCAAGCTATTTAAAAATGCACGCCCCTGGGGCACCTGGGTAGCTCAGTCGGTTGAGCGCCTGACTTTGACTCAGGTCATGATCTTGTGGTTCGTGAGTTCGAGCCCCGCCATCAGGCTCTGCAGAATCGAGCCCCGTGTCAGGCTCTGCGGAGCCAGCCTAGAATACTCTCTCTCTCTGCCCCCCCCGCCCCTCCCCGCTCAAAACAAATAAATAAACTTAAAAAAAAATGCAAGTCCCTTCCCCACAAACCCTCATCACTCTCTACCTTCCCTGCTTTATTTTCGCCATAATTTTATTTTCCCATCTGACACATCATGGATTTTACTTGTTGCCTGTCTCCTCAAATGGAATGAGAGCTCCTTAGGGTAGAGATTACTTTTGTTCAATGCTACATCCAGATTTCTAGAACACTGCCTGGTACACAATAAGCTCTGGGAAAAAAAATTTACTGAATGAATGAAATTTCACTGAAAATTTTCAACTCCTCCAGCTCCTTTTATTCCTTTGATGAAGTAGTGCGTGGTATCCCATTTTATAAAGCAAACATTATCTCTCAGTGTGTTTGACCTCCTCATCTGGAACTTTCCCATCATTTGTGAGTCCCCAGAGGTATTTGGACACCATGTCTACAGCCTTCCCTCATGCCTCTAGTTTTTACACCTGTCAAAGGGTGTCCAGCTCCAAGTACAAAGACAGTAGTCACATGCATTAAATGATGGAGGATGAAAGTGCCCTAGATCAGGGTTTCTCAGCCTTGGCACTGCTGATGCTTAAGGCTGGTAAGTATTGTGGGAGTTGGCCTGTGCACTGCAAGATGTTTAGCAGCATCGCTGGCCTTACCCACTAGATGCAGGGAACATAACCCCAGTTGTGAAGATTAAAACACATCTCCAGACAGTACCAAACCTCCCCTGGTGAGCACAATCGTCTCCAGGGAACAGCACTAGAAAGAAGTTCGGCTCTAAGGACCACAGCCCAAGATTCCTTGCAGGTACAGGCTGAGGGCAACCTGTAGGGGGCAGAGTAGCCCTCACCCACTAGCAGCTGGCTGGCTAGCCGCAGTCCCTGAGAGGCTCCTCGGTGTAGGTGGCAGGGATGCCCTGACCCTCCCCAAGGTGGCCGTGTTCTTGGCAGCGTGCTTCTCAGAAGCTTAAGCTTAAGCACGCAGGCCACACAAGCTACGTACATACTGCCCGCTGCGGGCGCCTCACTTCACGTCAGGGCCAGAATCAGACAGGAGTCAAAAGGCTAGGTACGAAATATGTTTTCTGTCCCAGTCACAACTGTGAAAATAAGTTAAAAGTGGGGGAGACATCAGGCCTTGGTTCTAAGTTATTCCTCTTTCTCAGCCTGATCTTCCTAATCTGAAAATAAGCGTAATCAACTTCAAGGTTCTAAAATGCTTTTAGGCCTTAAGATTCTACACTGGATTACTTGCAGGTTTATTTAAAATCTTCAGTTTATGCATTTCTTTAAACCCATAGCATTAATCAACTACTTTTTTTTTTCCACAATGTCC